CAGACAAAAAGATGAAACAAGATATAATGTTTTTACCCTACATGCTGTGCTGACAGTAGGATGACTAAGATCTTCTTCAAAAAGGACAGAGCTTAACTAACTTCAGTACACAGAAACTTTACAGCTGTGCAATTCTAAATTCACGTTGAACGATTGTGTGTTTTGCACCAAATACAGATTTGAATAGGTCGTGATGCTTGTGTGGTTTTATTAACTCAGGCAGACACAAGAAGATCTTGTAAGGCAGAGATTTTAATCTCTTTCAATCACTCACACGAGCACTGTATTTTTATTTTTGCCAATCTCAGATTTAGACATTAATGGGATGTCTTTGGTTTAAACATCTACTCTTGCAGCTCTACAACCTTCCGATCACAGGCGCGCCTTTAAAGTCTGCGCCGCCACTCCAACGCTGACGTACTTTATATTTTTTAGAGAAAATGTACACATAAAAGTGAACCTCATAACTAAGATGTGCACACTGACAAGCAAACGCCCACTAACATAAATACGTGCGTAGCCACAAGGGATTAAGAGGGTATGGATATGATAAAAGAAATCCACACTCACAATAAACAAAAAAGTACACCTCACATATTGTCTCTCTCTCTCTCATTCTCTCACAAACACACAAGCAGAAAGTTCTGATAACGCTCAAGACAAAAATCCAGTGGAACCAATTACAGCTCTGTTCTCCTCAGCTCTCAGTTTTAACCCCTTTCCCACCAGACAGCAAGGAGAACAATGTGTGATTTATCTGCTATAAAAAGTCAAGCTTTGTTTTATTCAGACCTAAAATGTTATTGCATTTAAAAGGATGCTGATGGGAAGCAATATTCAATCCGCACGATGAGAACTGAATGATGGCAGCAGCATTAATACATCATCCCTGTGGACTGAACAGAGTAATGCCAGTTCAGTGAGGGATGTGCAGCTCTGTACTCGCACAACGGATCCTGATGGTGTTTAGCTATAAATCAACTTTATTAACATAAACATGAAAAAAAACCTCGTACTTTTCTAAACCAGTTGTCTTGTCGTTCATTCGGTAGTGTCAAGAACACTCATTGTGTTTTAGGGGTTTGGTCAATACAGTAGGAAAAAAAGAATCCTTACGTTGTTATTTTGAAGAATTCAAGATATTTGAGAACATTAAACAAGGTTGAACAATGATACTCAACAAAAGCTTGATAGTGTCTTTTGGAGAGTTCAAGTCGGCTACCAGTTTGATTTTCTGGCAACTTACTGTATGATTGTACAGTAGTCCCTCGCTAATTCACGGTTCAACTTTTGCGGACTTGCTCCTTCTCGGTTTTGCAATGACTGTCATTTTCAATATTACTCACGTGATTGGGATGGTACAGGATAAAATGCTTACAAAAAATATACTTTGGGCAGTCAAAAGAACTGTACTACCCAGAAGCCAACAGTGCTTCCAGCCACTGCTTTCTGACAAAACGGACGGAAAGTTTTGATCCGATCCAAACCTGACTAAAAAGTTTGGTCCTTAATCACGGTGACTTTGGCGCTCAGTGGATGCAGAGAGCCATACGGAACCGACCGAGAATTGGACCAGAACTACTTCCAGCCTCATCGGTCAATCTGCTGCTTGTCGGCCCATGAAGCCTCTCGAGCGGCTGCAGAGAGCCGAGCAGAACTGAACCGGATCAAAGCTGGTGAGCCCCCATATAAAATTTTGCACTACTGTACAGTACATATTAATATGTTGTTAAAATTACAGAGGTTTAAGAGTTTAGACAATTGGAAGAGTGTGGTTTATAAAGCCTTAATATATATAAAAACTAAATAAATAAACAAATTCACTAAATAAATTCAATTCAGTTTACAGTATTTGTATTCATTCATTCATTTACTTTATTTCAGACACAATATATGAGCCATATATAAAAAAAAAAGCTTTTCTATAGAGGCTCAAACTCCATTGAGTCCATAAAGTAGAAAAGTATCGCACAGAGCTTAGTCCAGGTTTGGTCAGTGTAGCAATGACACAGTTTTCAGATTCAGACAACCTACACATGCATCTATCTGTGAGGTTACGCAGCACCGCAGGACAGGTAGGCACACCTGCGTCTACAAACATCTGAGTCGCACTGCTCCATCGAGGTACCCTCATCAGCATCTGCATGCCATCATTATATGCAACATTTAATCTATACATACTGCTCCTTTTACAATGTGTCCACAGGTGAGCGGTACACATAGGAGTACAGTAGGCCTTAAAGAGTTGGATCTTAACAGATGTTGAGCATATTCCAAATCTACGGATCAGCATGTTAGCTTGTCCATAGAGCATAAAACATTGTCTGTAAATGTCTCTATATAGCACCAAATCATTTTTGAAAATAAAAAAACAGTACCCACTTTTCAATGTATGTTTCAAACATATACACGCCATTTGTATTCACATTTCCAGTGTTTATAACCTGAAACTATGTTATACGTGTAGAGTGAAAACAACAGAAATGCACTGTTTATCCTGTTTACTGTTCTCTCTCTGCTCTGTAGGAGTGAACTGCAGCTCAGCCCTGCCCCGACCATCAAACAAATCCCAGACAGAAAGCTAAGAGAGACGATGTTGTTTGTTGTTTATCCACAAATCGGCTAAATTACTTATTTTTTATACCATGTTGGAAGTGCAGATAACAAATGGTGCAAATCATCATCTAACTCCTTGAGTAAAAGTCCTTGGTTAGAAATGTGGGTCAGAAATGTTTTAGCTTATTCTCAGTCAGTTAAAAATAGCCATTTAATGTAGGCCTGTCTCTTAACAGCCAAATATCACCAACAAGAAACCTTATTTGGCTAAATTGTTGAATAATTAGTAGAAGTAAGAAAACTGGGCAAAATGCTCAATATGTTACCATGTAGGAGTCTTGTTTTACTCATGGTTTTTAGGTGAGAACTAAAAGAATGCCTTAATGTTTTTCATAGCCGTTTACCTTTATCTTTATGCTCGAGTATACTTTCTGCTGATCTTCATTCATTCTGACACCCAGTGACAAACTGAAGTACTGGGTAGCTTGGGTGGTTCATGCTGCCAGTTACTTTGGAAGACGGTCAGTTGTGTTATAAATACAATAATGCACCATTAAAACAGCTCACTTTACTTGAAACAAAGAGGGACGCTCATAGAAAGCATTTACTATATAAAATGCTGCAACGTTTTTATCTTTAGAGCTAAACCTTAAGGGGCACTGGCTTCTGTAACAAGTGATGTGATTTTTTTTTTTTTTTGGTATGGAAAAAAGACAAGAATGGAAACAATTCAACTAAAATGTGACTAAGATCGTTTATACGTGATAAACTAGTATTTCTGACTAGACATGAATGCAACACATCTGAATAAAGTAGACAGCAGCATGAAACTGCAGCAAGAAAGTTTCGCAGAAATTTCACATTGATTGCCTCTTGTTAGCTTAATAATTGATCCATCTTTTGTCAGATACGGCCCTTAGGGACCAAAGGCTCGAAAACAATAATCCTACTTCCACTACGGGATAAAAGTTAAACCAAAGCACAAAGTATAATCACATATTGTTCAAATATATTTGCATTTAGGAGACAAAACGATCAAAAGTACGTTTTTGAGTAACTAGAATAGCTCAGACATTATACCCAAAGTCTGTAGGAAGCATGTAAACACAGGCAACCACACAGATGAAGACACACACACGTGTTCTCAGTACTTTCACACCTCTCTGAAGATCACATTTCATAGCAACACACACAAATAAAGTTCTGCTGGTAGAAAAGGGCTGAAGAAGGAAGAGAGGAGAAAAAAATGGACAGGAAGGAATAGAGGAGATAGACGGGGAAAACGAGATGAGGGGCTATCGATCAGTTGGAGTTGGCTCAATCCGGCGCTGAACTTTATCACAAACGCTGAACATCACAGCAGGAAGCTCTCTGATATCCCTCTAAAAAAGGAGAGAACAGAGGAATGTTCACTCACTGCTCTCCATTCACATTTACCATTCGTTTCTCTCTCCACCCCGCAGGAGCACCTTTTGAAATATTTTTCCATCTTTTTTTTATAGCTCGGGTCTTAGATCTTTCACTTTCTCCCTTTGTTTTCCTCCTCTCCTCCATTTCCCTGCATGTTTTTCAGCAGCCGGCTCATTAGCATTCTCTCTGTACATGTAATTGATTCCTCATGCCTTCCTCTTGTGAAAATGTCATTCATAATTCTATGTGATAGTTGGCTGGATGAATGGCTGACTAAGTGTTTGGTTGGGTGGCTGACTGCAAGGCAAGGCGGCCACTGACCCATTTGTGGCAGATACAAAAAAGAGAGACAGAGAATCAGATCTGATTATAGCAACCAGATCAGGACCCGTGTGAAACAACAGGTCTACGCTAGACGCAGTCCTCTGCTGTCTTTCATCTTTATGTGATTTTCAGTTGCTCTGAATTGATGATGAAGGGTCAAATTGGAGGAGGTTAGGAGTTTAAAGATGCATTAAGAAGTAATTGTGCTCTCTTTCTTAACACAAAATGAGTCAAATTGGACAATCAATTAAATGATTAGTGTTTGCTTAGCAACAGCAATGAACAAATGGACAGCTAAGAGTCTTCAGCGCCTGGTTTGTTTGCACATGAAGAGCAGATTTAGTTATAGTCCACCTACACGGGCAGTCAACAAGATCTCAAAGGCACCTGGTTGCAGCTGCAAAGTCGGAGGTAACGTGTGAGAGTGTGTGCATAACGGCCCCAGTCCTCCTGCTGTGTCTCATCCTCAAGTTACAGTACGGTCCGTTTAACTACACAAGTCATGCTTGAACATACAAAAAGAGACTGAGGGACAAGGAAGTGTCTGGAGGAGGAAAAAATGGTGCAAAGTAATAACATAAGTTCAAAAGCATGAAAGACTGGAGATTAAAGCAAATCAGACTCACTGGAGTTGAGTCAGTTATGATGTGGAGACTGAGGGGTAAAAAAAAGTGCAACAGAAAGAAATAAAGACGTGAGGAGAAACTTACCGGATGCCTGCCCTGAGGGTACATGATCCCTGGAGAGGAGAGGCTTCCAGTCCGTTTGATGGCCAGGTTACTCCCCTGACCTTCCAGTTCTCGGCCCTCCACACACGCACACACACTCAGTGCTTCTCAGTTGGGTTGAAGACGCTCTTCGCTTCCTTGTGCGTTACCTTTTAACATAAATTCCTGTTGACACACAACCGAAGAACGCTCACTCCGTCGACTCGTTTATCCAACAATGTCATGATAAAATGGAGCCTCCAACTGCTCTGCCACCTCCTCCTTCATCTCAGTGAAGTCCCAGTCCCAGTTTCTCCACCTCTTGCCTTCCAAACAGTGTTTGTGCCCTTTTTCCTCTCTCTGATCAGTCAAGGCTCACACATGCTGACATGACAAGGAGAATTTAGTCCAGACAAGCTTCCCTCTTCATCTCCTCCTCCTCTTCCTCCTCTCTCAGCTTCTCGTGCCCCTTAACACAGCAGTCCAATGGCGAAACATAGAAACATAAACACTCAGCTCAACCAAATAGTCCTCTTCTGCTTTTTCCTCCTCTTCACTCTCTCTCTCTCTCTGACACACTGAAGCCTTGACTGCTGCAGCAGAAAAAGGAGAGGAAGGAGGAGGAGGGAGGAGAGAGGGAGGAGAGAGTGAGAGCTTTGTTTTTAATCTAAATGTGGAAAAAAAAAAAAAAACGCAAGAGGAAAGCAGGAAAGAACAGCAGGTCAGTGGAGGATCCAGCGGGCTTTTCAGCAAGCCCTAGACTGTAATATATTGTGCCTGTTGGCTTCAACACAAACAGGACAGGCTGCTAAAGCTGCTCTTAAGGTGGAACCAAGCAAATACAGAAAGCCGGTCACACACACACACACACACACACACACACACACACACACACACACAC